CCAAGTTGCCCAGGTGGGTCTCGAACCCGCGGGCTCAGGCAATCCACTGGCCTCAGCCTCCCAAAGTGCTGGGCTGACAGGCTGAGCCACCGAGCCCAGCGGGAGTATGACTTTTAAACAAATGAGCAGACTGTTGATTGTAAGGCAGATACACATCCCAGAAGGCCTCAGAATGCTGACTGTCTCTCAGTTCTGCCCAATTTCCACGAACAGAGGGTGGCTCTTCCCACGAAAGAGTGCCTTCCACTTTTCTCTCTAGTCGGGGTGACCAGTATGGTGTCATTCCGTGTGCTGATCGAGCAGCATATGTCCCAATCAAAAAATGTACCTTTCTTTGTTAGTAAGAGTTTAGCGTGCTGCAGGCCTGATCTCCAAACGGTTTTCCTCTTCAAGGCACTGACCAGCACTGTGTGGATGAATTTGACCCTTTCTCAGGAGACCTGAACGTTGAGTTTCTGCAGCTGAATAAACTGGTTCTCTCCTGTTTGGAGCCATGCTGAGATTCCAAGAGGCTGCGAGGCGAGGGAGTGGGCCCAGGGCTGTTCCCGAGTGCCCAGAGACCTTGATTGCAAGAAGATACATGCTTCAGCAGAAGCTTGGCAGTGGGAGTTTCGGAACTGTCTATCTGGTCTCCGACAAGACAGCAAAACACGGCGAGGAATTGTAAGTAGAAATGCTTCGTGCAGACCTCGACTTGGCCGTCCTGCCTGTGCCGCCTTTAGCTGGTTAAGAGCTCAGAGTGAGGTCCACTTTGCTCTTCCAGACGAAGCAGGAACTTAGTAAAGATGGGAAGCTTTTTCATAGAAGGCTTCTAAAGCCACTTCAGCCGGTGGACGCAGAGGAGGAAAACGGGGTAGACTGTGTGAAAATAAGATTTGTATGCAGACCACAGTCTCAGAGACAACATTGGGGCTTCCACCTAACCTGATTGGAGCTTTTATTTCCTTGAGTTGGAGTCACACTCTGTCACCCAGGCTGGAGTGCAGTGGCATGCTCATGGCCACTGCAGCCCAGCCTCGACCTGCTTCAGCCTTCCAAGTAGCTGGAACCACAGGTGTGTGCCACCATGCCTAGCTAATTTTTTTATTTATTGTAGAGATGAGGTCTCGCCAAGTTGCTCAGGCTGGTCTTGAACCCCTGGACTCAGGCAGTCCTCTCGCCTCCGCCTTCCAGAGTACTGGGATTACAGGTGTGAATCGCCACACCTGGCCTGAAACTTCTTGAATAAGAACCTAAGAAGCGTTCCTATGACTGCATTTTTAGAAGTGTTATGAAATGCAGATAAACAGTAATTCACATATGAGCTGAATAGGACGTACCACAGGAAATAGAGTGTGAATTTTCATAGGCTTTTCTGTGGAGGAGATTTTCAAAATCTGTAGCCAGAAAGCTTCCAGTTGGGTCCTTAGACCAGGAGAGGCTCCCGTTTAAAAGCAGCTTACGTGATGCTCTTGCTGCCACCTGTCCTTTGACTTGGGTTAGATCCTATGAACAGTCCTAAGTAGGGAAACGCTGTTGGTGCTTTTAGACGACACTGCCTCCCTTACAGATACACCTTCGTTTGGGGCTTGAAGTCTGTTGAACTTGCTGCTGTGAAAAGCGACTCGGAACTGGAGTGTGGAGAAGCAGCAAGTGTGAGAAACCCAGGAGGGAGAGAGCCGGGGGAAGGAGGAGCCAAGAGGCCCCCAGCCCTGGAGGCCCCAGGGCATCCCGCCTTCGGCTGTGTGTCCAGCGGGCTTGGCCTCTCTCAGTCTTCAAGCGTCACTTTTCACAGCAGCAAGTGACGCGTAAGTGTGGATTTAACATCAGGGTGGGAAACGCTTTCCTACTTCTTCACGTGTCATGTGCGGCAAGGGGCCCTTCCCTCATGCCTCAGAAGACGGAGGCCTTCCCAGGACAGAGCAGGGCCCCTGAGTACAGGAAGGTACAAGCCTTCCCAGAATAATGGAAGAGTGTTGGGAGCCAACATCTATAGCTACATGGCTGAGGCCTGTAAAGGCCCATCTGGAAGATCGCCTCTGACATAGGATATCAGTTATACCTATGATATTGGTGTGTGATTAGTGACCAGTGTGCATACATGGCAGTAAAACTTATAAGTAAATCTCTATGCACCTGATGGAAAGTTGCATAGCAGAATTATTTTTCATGACCTTGTCCCTTCTAAGTTTTACTTCTTTCTAGATATTTTTTAACTTCTATTTCCTGGTAGACTGGTTAGTTAACTCTTGTTCCCAAAGGCAGTTTCTCCTAGGATTAAGATTAGAAACTAAGTTACCATAATAGTTTTATTGCCCTGCCTCTAGCCAGGCAGGACGTTTTTCTAGTTTCGTTACATGCCAAAACTCCGTTTGCTTCAGCCCGTGGTCATTGTCATGGTAACCGTGCAGCCCATTATCCAAGAGTGTGACAGCTACTATTTGATTTTTAGAATAGACTTGTTTGAGTAAAACATACATTTAAGACGATACAATTTCCATCGAAAAGATTTAAACAGTAATAAGCATTCATAGAAAACTTTTAAGTTCTGTTTAAGCTTTTAAGTTTCCTTTTCTCAGATTATGACTTTAGTTCCTGTTCCTGTAGGCCAATTTTAAGATCCTTTGATTAGTATACCGAAATTTTCCCTGTTTTTGCTTCTAATATGACAATAGGAAATTTTACACGTAGCCATGTATTAATGTACTAGGAAAAAAGATTTAAGTTTTGGGTTAAAGTCCAATCACTAGATCATATAAAAATTAAAGTTTAGGGTTATGAAACTCATATAAGTCATAGTAAGGAATAAGATTTGAATTAATTGTTATAGAATTACAGGGCACTATGTTGAGTCATAATAGGTTAATGGAATAAATAAAAATTAAGTCATTTAAGTAAACTTAGAGATTATAGTGTTAAGTTGATAATATCAACCGTTAAAAAATATTAGGAGTCAGTGAACTTGGATTGAACCTAGAGTTAACTTAGAAAGTTTTTGTATTAATCAGGGTTTAGAACAAAGAGTATAATATGCATGATTTATTGAACACTATGGAAGACATTTTTGAACAATTGAAATTGTGCACCTGTGACCTTGATGTGAGTTTTTTGTGAAGCATGTCAGGTATCATGGAGTTTGAATTGTCTGCTTGGAACTTGCAAGTCTCGTGATGGTCTTGTGATGCATAATTTGTAAACCGCAATATACATCATGGAGTTTGTACGCCCCCAGTAAATAATTATCACACTGCTAGAGGGTATAGAAAATGGTATATAAGTTGGAAAAGGTTTGAATAAACTTGGCTTCAGTCCTGATCAGACTGTTCCCAGACGAACTGCCTCCGAGTGGTCTCTTCTCGCCGTCTCCTGATTCTCCGGTGCGGGTCCTAACCCTTCCCTCCAAGGTCGGAGCGGGACTCCGACAGAAGAGTCCTTCTAGCACCATAAGATAAGCGCTTTCTTGGAAGATGTATGTATGGAAGGAATGTAGCTCCCAATCTGCAGTGCGCATGTGCAACTCTGCTGCAAATCTGAGCTGTGAAACACCCGATTAGCCTGTGTGTTACTAACATGCGAGGCTTCTTGGGGGGTCATGGGAGCTAAAGTTGTATACGAGGCAATGCCCCCCTGCGCTCGGGGCCCAGCCTTTGGATGTGAACCCGCTGAGCCGGTGTTGGCACGAATAAAACTGCTTCCTGGGCTCGGTGTCCCGACTCTCTCTGTAAAATCCTGCCACACCTGGACCCGCAAAGGCAAATGGTACCACTTTGTTTTGAAAGTCAACCGTTTCAGTGGCCTCCATGCCTGGAATTTTCCAAAGTTGTACTTTTCTGGAATTCCTAGCTGTTCGCCAATTCACTGTGACTTCTGCCGAAAAGGATTTCTCCCCAAATCCTGGAGTCTCTCTAGTGATTTGGAATAGGACAGCACGTCTCTGCCAACCACGAGGGAGCCTTTAGGAGTAAGACCTGCCTGACACAGGATGTATAAAGATACGTAGTAGGACCGTTTCCCATTTTGTTTTTTCCTAATTGGGAATATGAAGGATGTTAAGAAAATTCACTTGAGCGCTACAAAGTTGATTCAGAGGATGTCAGGTGAGATGCATGAAGATCCAACTTGAAAGCTTTAGATTTAAGATAATGAGTGAGTGAAAGAGAGAGATTGATTGAGCGTTTCGTCTTTTCTAGAAAACAATGAAACATTTGGTCACGTTTGCTCACGCCAGTGCCTGCATGGCCGCAGTGGGTGGGAGCTGCCCGTAGACACACTCTGTTTTCTACGGTAGCCGTGTTCCTGCTCTCCCTGCTGCCCCACACCAGTGGCAGCAAACGTCCCGCTACCTCCCTGCCTCTGTGGACATTTGCTGTTGGAGTTCTTTGCTGAAGTCAGAAGAAGCGTGAACGTGAGCACTCACAGCGGCCTGGAATGCTGGCAGGAGGCAGGCCGGTGTCCTCGCCGAGTCCACGGCTTTGGGGGTGAACACGCCAAGGAGCGGGCTGGGCCTGTCCTTCACTGGGAGCTCAGGGTCGGGCCTGTTCCTGTCTCAGCTGTGGTCTTCCCATCTGCAAGTGGGCGAGCCCTTCACAGGACCTTAATAAAATTAAAGGAGCTTCCTGCCCACTTATATAAGGTGTAGATATCACGTTGCCTTACACATAATTGTCACTCAGCAACAGCCCAGATTCATCTTAATTGTGAGCAACCCAAGTTAAAGGAATAATTCAAGGAAACCTCATACAACTAGATAATCACCGCCCAGCGACTGCAGCTGGAACCCACTGCCAAATGGAGGCTTTTCTTTTGCATTTGACTTTTAAAAGAGAAAAATCTCCCAAACAAAGCAATACTAGACACATGATTTTAAAAAGTTCTTCAGGGATCTTTCTTGAGATTGTCACCATTATTTTGTTATTTATTCTTTCATGTCTTTATGGCTTTCCAAAAAATGGAAGCTTTTAACTGTGTAAGAGATCAACCTTTCCATGATTATTACGTTTACGACAGGCATAGAGACAGGAAACTCAGCTCACAAGTGTTTTTTGAGTCCCCCTTCCCCAGAGAGTTGAGAGTTGACCCTTTCGTTTGTGAACCAAGCACATTATAGCACCACTCGTCCAGCAATCTGGTTAGGTTTTAAATTCTGCTTTACTCTGGACCACAGACACAGGGAGTCGGTTAATGCTAGAGGCAGGTAGAAGATGAACACTCTCTAAGGAGATGTCTGTAATGGGACGAAAGCCGCTCCCTTGCTAGATCAGAAGATCTGACTCTCTTGTTTTGCAGACACACCCTAACTCATTGAGCTTGAGAGGAGCATGTATCGTCCCTTTGCAGGTCAGACTGTCCCCTGGCATCAGTGTTAGAGGAGTGACTCAGGCAGTCCATGAATCTAAGTCGGTCAGCCTGTAGGACGCGTGTTTCCAGCGCCCATGAAGCCCAGGTCCATGCAATGGACGCTTCTGGCTCTAATCAAAGGGCTGGTCAAATGCAAGGGCTGTGCATGCATAGTACTTCTGCCTGTCCCAGCCGAGGATCGCAATTTATCAGTTTGCCGCTTGGGGGCATCACTCTCCCAGTGACGCTTTGCCTGGAAGGAACTTTAATTACAGTGAAAATACCACACGGCTTTACATTTTTATTGACTTTCCGAATTAGCTGTGGGATTAAAGTAAAAGCTACAG